TTCAAATTCCAGGGTACACAATTACATTCTGCTTATCATGAATCCCATTTGCCACTGCATATGGTTATTCTAATTACCAGAATGCTATTGTGTGCTCCTCTGCTGACAAGGGCTCACTGTGCTCCACACCAGGCTGGGAAAAGGAGGAGCACACAAAATATATTCATTTTCATACCCCACACAACATCCTGGCCTGCAAGAACCTCCCAGGTGCTTTCAGGGGGAGCTGTCAGCAACAGGAATGAGAAATGGTCTTGTTATTTGGAGGGAGAAAGGGATGATTTACAAAATCTAGGGGGGGGAAAAGAAAAAAAACAGAGGAGTCTGCTTTGGGAAAGCTTTGGTTGGTTTGCTTCCTCAGGGAAGAGCTGCTGGTTTAAACTCTGGCTTTGGCCAAATGAAACACAACTGCAGCAAAGCCTCCCCAGATGCAGATTCGGCCACGCAGTTCCACAGGAGGCTTTTTTTCTTTTTTTTTTACCTCCAAGGAGGTACTAAAACAACACCTCTGCCTATTGCCAGAGAAAGGGGCTGCATTAATTGAGGCCCCAATTTTTGGAGAGGATATTGGGACTTTCTGGTGTCCCCAAGGCCCTCCTCGGTAATTTCCACGTGCGGGTGCTCCGGTTTGCTTCCAGCCACGTTTAACTGCCTTCTACATCTTCAAGCTGCCCATCCAACTGGGTGAAGTGTTCCAGGAGTCCTGCCCTCAGCAATTCTGCAGGGCCTGTGCCCTGCCCTGCAGTCACTGGGCATCAGTGACACACGAGGACATCCCTGTGCACTCCGGATGGCACCTGGATCAAAGCTGCTGCAACCATCAGCAAGACAAGAGGGTTCAGGGTCTTCAGCTGTGCCAGGGGAGGTTTAGGTTGGATATTAGAAAGAACTTCTTTCCAGAGAGGGTGATCAGCCATAGGAATGGGCTGCCCAGGGAAGGGGTGGATTCTCCATCCCTGGAGGTTTTTAAGACAAGACTGGATGTGGCATCAGTGCCATGGGCTGGGAACCACAGCGGGGTTGGATCAAGGGTTGGACTTGATGATCTTGAAGGTTCCTTCCAACCCAGCTGATTCTATGATTCTATAAATGTAAAGCTCCTTATCCACAAAGTGAGGAGGGAAAAAAACCCCAAACCTCACAAGAAACAAACAGGTAGAAGCTCCACAGGCTCCAATTAGTTGGGTTTTTTTCCCACCCTAAAAGGAAGACGCATTTCAAGGTTCTTCACATCATTTTGTCAGACTCTGGTTTCACTCGAAAACGTAATGAAGTGCAGTGAAACACAACCAAGAGAAAAGAAACACAAATTAAGGTTGAAAAAACACAATCCAGCCCCTTTTCAAAAGGCTGAGCTGAAAAACAAAGGGGCGGGGGAGAATATTGGAGGCTGCAGTTCAAAAGAACAAGGGGGCAGTTTAGTGAGAGACAAGCTAAAATAAATTTTAAAAATTCAGTAAAATGTATTGAACACGTTTTATTGAATTTATTGAATTGCCTACGCCATGCTGGTGGTGCTGTGCCCTCTTTGGCATCCTCCCTGCAGCACCTCTTGCTGCAGAGGACAACAGCCTTCAAGAGGCTTCCCTGGGCATGTTTAACCTGTCCCATAAAGCAGAGGCATCCCAGCAAACAGGAAAAATGCTCAGCCTCAGGATATAACTCAGTGGTTCTCCTCAGAGCAGCACAGGCCCTGCATCTCACCCCACTTCTGATGGTACCTCTCTGAAGTTTCGTGTTTAGATCAAGTCTCTCACCAGAGGGGAAAAAAAAAATGGGTATTTATCAGCAAGTCCCAACATATTCAGTGAGAAACTGCACTAAAATATTTTACAGAGAAAAAAAATAAAATATTTATTTTCTAATCCAAAAAAACATGCTTTCAAACCAAACTGTGGTACCTCATTTTGGGACCAATTGTGCCCAGTTCCCCTCCATGGGCTCTTGGCACTCTCCAAGCAATGCCACCTGAAGTGCCATCCTCTGGGAATATCTATGACAAATTCCAGGCTGTTCTCAGCATATTCTGCCATGTCTCCAAATGGCTTTATAGAGAAGAGACAACCATACAGAAATATGGATTATATTGGGAACTGGGTTTGGCCACCTCATTTCTCCTTGGAGGGCAGACTAAATGAGCCCATTCTTCCTTCAGAGTCAGAACATGGGAATCTAATATTCACTGTATATCTAATATATTGAATATCTAACACAGCAAATTAGATATTTAAATAAGAAACCCAAAAACCAACACAGAATATTTACAGGCCCTCAGGAAAATAAAGGCTTTTTTTACTCTCAAAACTAGATGCAATCTCATCCTGCTTCTATCCCAGCCCAATAATTCCCTCCTCATCCCACTATGGATGAAACAACGTCCACCAGCAAAGCCCAAGTGGAGATCCCAGAGCAGATCTCGACTCCAGGCCCCTATTCTGGGTAATATCCCACAACTAGGTTTCCATGGGGCCCCTCAGCACCCAAACCTGAAAGATATTTATCTTATATATACATATAGGAGGGGAATATTGACCACCAGCCTCCATACCCCAATTTACAGTCACACAGACGCCAAACTGTGGGATTTGTTCCCTTTTTTAAAGCCACTTTCAATCACAGGGAGAAAGAAGAGTAATTAGACTTCTCTGACATCATTTTATGCTTCTATAGGAAATAGAAAACACATAGAAAACCCTGGAGATTCATCAAGGAGGAAAAAAAACCCCTTTTTTTTGGACAGCAGCAACGTGCGTCAAAGCGGCCAAGTTCAAACCCAGAGAAATTTAAAAGTGGAAATGCAGACCAAATCTTGGGGAGAATTAACACTGAAAAGCTGCTGGAAAGAAACAGTCAGACTTTATTTTGAGTTTACAGCCTAATTATTTTCATATAGAAACTGTATATTGGGGTATGACTCCTTCAAAAATAATTGTTCCACTTTCTCAACTTTAAAGGTTAGTTTTGTGCAGAAGGTTTTATACTGCCTGCTTCCATGGTGGGGTTTTTTCCTGCTCTATGACTTCTTTTGGAGTTTACAGCATGATTATTTTCCCTTAAAAGCTATTTTAAAAGACATAAATACCATGAAATTGGAAGGAATGGGATTCTACAATAAACTCATTTTTGAGAGAGAATAGGAGTTGCAGGGCCAATCCCCTCCTGTGTCACAGAGCTGCAGTGTGCCCAGGGATTCCAAGTTCCTGGGTATAAAGGAACAGAAGTGACTGTTCCTGTCCCAAACAAATTGCTGCCACTCAGCAAAGAAAGAACAGATCCATGTTACTTTAGAAATGAAACAACCTTATCTGCTTCCCAACGAGCTCGGAATTCACCATCCAGGAACCTTCCCTACCACGTCCCCATTGCCAGACAGAGGCAGAAGGAAGCTGAGGTTTAATTTCTTCAGCCTGATGTCAAATTTAACTCCCCCATCCCATTTCACCCAGGCACAAACGAGCTGCTGGTTTGTTTTTTTTTTTTTTGCACCAGTGTATTTTAACACCACCCAAAGCTGAGATGGCAATTGCAGAGCGAGGGTCGCAGATCCTGTTTTATATTCCTTAAAAAAAAATTAATTAAAAAACAAACCAAAACAAACAAACAAGGGAGGAGGGGAAAAAAGGCATTAGAGGAAAGACAGGAACAGCAAAGCAGAACATTGTCAGGTTAAATGCAGCAACACAACCCTGTGCACTTGCCAGACAGACACATACCTATAGATACAAGCTTGTGTGGAATATGACCACAAGTTCGGATCTACGGGTTTGTGGCCCCAGGCAGGGTTTCTCTGCTGTCATTTGCAAGGTTTGGGGCTTGATTTTTTGGAGGAAAAGCACTCCTGCAAATGAAATTTCCGAGCTGTTAGTGAGGAGCAGCCTTCATTCCCTCAGCACCTCCAAACCCCTCCGCTGGAGGACGGGGGGCACAGATGCTTATTGACTTTGCTACAACACAAGCTACGGTTTCCTGCCCTCCCCTGGAACCTTTTGAAAGAAAAAATCAGCAAAACAAAAATGAATTTCAAACCAAACAAAATAAAGCAGATGTATGGTTCCTTCTTGTAAGTGCTTTGCTGGACAGAGTTACAGAACCGAGGAATTAACAGCCAACGTTGGAGGTACATCCCTGACAGTGCAACAAGTTATAAACCAGCAAAGTTTTTGTATGTAAACAGAGTGACAATGCACAGCCACCCCCCTACCCTGCAAACAAGTTGTCTTGTTTCCATTCTGGCTGCCTGGTTGAAGTAGAAAGAAGAAACAACTGCCTAAGAGTTGTTTTAACTTTCAGAGAAGTCATTACTGTCTGAGGTTCTATTTTAATTCTATTTTTAAAGAACAAAAAAACCCCCTTCACTCTGTATAAATTTCCTCTCACTCCAGCTCTCTGCATTTCTTCCTAAAATGACACAGACAAATGTAAAACTTCTTTAGGATTTCTCAAATAAGGCTTGAAAAACAGTGTTGGAACAAAGTTTTGCCACTGCAAGTAAGAAGTGTCCCCTCCTTCTCCTGAAGTTTCCAAGTTTTCTTTCCTGTGTAACTAATATTTCCCATTTTATTGGTGGGCAACTGGTGGGGAATTAGGCTGAAAAGCAGCCTGGCTGTGAGCTCCTCATAGAGAAAATCAGTGAGATCAACAGTTGCTAAAGTGTCACAAACTTTTCACATTCTACCTCTTCTCTTTCTTCAGGAGACAAACTGTATGAATGCAAGTCAATGTTATTCCCTATAAAATGAAACAGTCCACATTTGGAAAAGAATTTTGTTATTTGGAGGCTTTTAGAAAATTCCCCCACTTCTCGTGGAGGTTCTTAAAATAAATCACTTCAACCTTTCCAGCCTGGCAAATATGCAATTCTAAAATACAATTTTCCTTTATTTGGAATTACTGCTTGGGCTGGGCTACAAGGAACTCCCAGCAATGGATGTTAAACTTTCACCATCTGTCCAAAGGTTGTCTAAATTGATCCCCTAAGTTTAGATTCCTATGATACTTACCTTAAAAGTGTCCAGCTCGCAGCACTCAAAATTCACGTTGCAGGGGATGAGCATCTTTGAAAAACCAGGATAACTTCCGTGTTGGAGGTAAAACGGGATTCAGGAGCCCCCCCAGAAGTCAGGGAGCTCTGGAGACAGAAGGGCAGGGAGCACGTGGTCCTGCAGGAACAGCCACATCCTGCACAACCACACGTATTGTGCCCTGGGAGCTGCAAACGGAACACAACAAATGTGACCCTACCAAAAATAACCCAGGCCCTCCATCTACAAAGCTCATTTCTTCCCGGGAACCTGAGGTTAAAATGCAGGTTTGTCCTTTGCCCTGTCTAATGGGCACAACTGTCAGGAGCCAGGAATTCTGCTGCTGCAGGTACCAGGATTTCTTACAGTGGCAAGGAACTTATCTTTAGGCAAAACTGCATAAGACAGTGTATTTTCCCTTATATTCACTATATTCATTTTGACTCTAATATCCTTTATATTAAGGTAGGTATATTTTGCTTATTTTTATATGTATATAACCTAATTTCCACGTTTCTCCACTGGCAAAGAAATACTTTATTTTTTCATATGAGACAGGAAAAAAAGTCATGATCTCACTGCAATGCACATTCTGGGGGGAGGTTATGGGTTTACTCAGTGTTTCTAGTTCCAAAATTTGCTGTGGTTTTTTTTTTTTTACCCTTTAATCCCATTTTCTAACCACTGGGACAGCTCAAGCCCATGAAGGAAACCAAGCTGCAACATTTGGGTGGCCTGTCCATCCCTCCTTGTGGTCCAGGATATGTGTCCTCAATCCTGCCTGGGCTGTAGGGAAGCTCCAGGCACCCAAAGCCAGACCTTGGAGGAGCCCAGCACACGTTTGAGGGCAGCTGGGAGGTGCTGACCCACCCAGCAAACCCCCCCTTTAATTCCTTGCCTAAAGGAGGGTTGATCTCTGCCTCATCTCCCACCCCCTTTGCCACCTGATTGGCTTCTCCAAAACAAAAGGAGGGTTGGGATCCACCAGCAGAGCTCCACTCGGGGAAAAAGGGGGAGTAAAAGGGAAAGCAGCACCAGCTATGCCTAGAAAAGCTCCAGGTTATGCCAAATAAATCCCTGCAGCAGGTCCCACCATAAATCTGAGTGAGCCCTCCTGCGTTCCTGCCCCGGGGGAGGGCGGGTCGCTGGCACAGGGGTGGCATTCAGTGGCACCTGTATGTTATAAATTATCCTGGAACCAACCTGCTCCTGTCCACACACTCTGGGAAACAAACTCCTGGACAGTTCTTGAGCCATTTGATAAATTCTTGAGCGATTTGACAAAGGCAGCAGCAAATGAACATTTTTGTTTGTTGAAAGACACAGGTTCTTAATTTATTTTTTTCATGTATGTGCCCTGGTTTTTAATTTTTTTAAAATTTATAAATTCCACTTATATCCAACATATTCAGAGAGCCATAGATTATACAAGATCTGGGGTTTGCAACGTTTCCCTCCATTGATTAATCACACAGCTATTGTACCTTCTGAAAATCTGATGAACATACACACAGTGGCAGAAAATCCATGACAGGCAAACAAATCAATCACCACCACGCTGTATTTGCCTCAAATGCTAAAATTGCAATCAAAAAGTTTCAACTTCTACATTAAGGAGCACAGGCTTAATATTAAGGCTTGTGATGTCCTTACACTGAGCATAATTTGCTTCGCTATTCATTTTATAATATATTAATGAACCCAGGATCAACAAGGCACCAGAACATGGGACAGCCCCAAAAAAGTAATATACACTTTTGTTAATAAAACTGGCATGTTAGAGATTTATAGCCAAAGGAATATAGAAGGAAATATTGCAGAAATCAAGTCTCCAAAGAGCCAACACTGGGGCTGGTCTGTGGGTGGTATTCTTGCAAACCACAAAGCATAAATGCCCTGTCCAGGAAAATCGATCATTATGGAATGCATTGTGTGCCTGAGTAAAAAGCTGTTTGCAGCCATTTCATACTTCTGCCACAAAAATAAGACAAATAAGAAACACCACTGCTAAATAATTCCCATTCTTTTCCCTCACCTCTTCCCCGCAGCCTAATTAGGCCCATAAATATATATATATATACATATAAACACACATGCACTCTATCTCAGGTTTAAAGACCTGTACTCCCAATTCTTTAAGGATTTCTGTGCTTCAAATAATTTTAAGAAATTAGAAGGAAAAGGGAAATACTGACTGGGGAATGGATGAGAAACCAAATTACCTCAGCAGCAGCAGCATTCTGCAAGATTTCTTCTGGCCCGTGCGCTGCCATATTGTTAGGCCCAACTCTTCAAGGAATGTGTCCTGGAAGACAAAATATTTATGGATATTTCCATGGTATATTTTCAACAAATGGGTTCTATCTTTCTATGGGAATGACAGGAGCTTCAGGAGCGAAAGGAACAGGCAATGTCCTAAGAGAGAAATTACCTCCCCCCTCCCAATATCTTCATTTTTCAGTTAATTTTTTTTTTTAATATATTTTTTTCCATGTTACACCTTTGGATTAACCCGTTCCCTCCCTCCCCCCCCGGCACGACGAGTGAAACCCGTGGAAATAAAACATTCCTTGCAACACAAACATTTCAGAAGTTTGCCAGTCCTATTCCCACCAAAGCCACCAAGAGAAATAAAAGCACCGTGGAGGTTGCAACAGCAGTTAGTAACACACACCAACTCCTCCAACTGATCAGCTATCACATCCAGATCTCACCCAATTAAAGTTTGATAAAACAGAATCAAATAGGAGCATCGTTACCTGCTTTGGAGAAGGTTCACCAAGCAAGCTTTTTAAGCTTTTTGACTCTTTTAACACTGATACAAGGAATAATTATTTCTCTCTGCCGATGCGATTGTTAAAAGAAGAGAAACCCCGGATTGTGGTGGCTTCGTGGATGCTATTCTTTTTGCACCACAGCAGGATTCTTGGCTGCCAGTCCAAGCTGCTTTCACTTGCCAAGTTTTAAGATGCCGGTTTTGCCTTTCATTTTATTGTTCCTTTCGCAACGTTAAAGACCGACTTAAAAAACCATGCACAGCTGCTATCGGGGAAGGGGGGGGGAATTATTTGAATTTTGCACAAGAATGGAGATGAGGAAGGCAAGGAGAGAGCGCTGTGATGTAACCACAACGACACCCACAGAAATATTCCCAATATTGGGGGGGACGGGCTGGCGCTCGGAATCCTGGCGTCTCCCTACGGCACCGATGGGATCCGGGATGAGAGAAGGGAATAATAAACCCACAGCCAGAGCCACGATCAACCACGTTAGAGGTGGAGGTTGAGACTTCTCCCCACCCCCCCGCCGCCACCCCACCACCACCACCACCTCATTTCTTTTTTTTTTTTTTTAATCCACTTAAGACCGTTCTTCCTCGTGGAGGATCCCTTCCAGGGGGTGTGCAGAGGTTGGGGAGCAGCCCTGCTAACAAAAGGATTCCCCCCCTGCCCACGTCCTGCCACCCCACCCTCCGGCAGGATTCACCCATGCCCAGACACCACGGCCTTTCTTTGACGCGACGCCACGGGAAGAGACTCGGCACCAGCCCAGTTCAGCTGCTCCTCCATCCATCAAACACGTCCCTTCCTCGTAAGCCACACGGTTTATTTTTTTAATAGCATAAAAAGCGGGAATAGATTATTTTTTTTTATTATTATCATCTTTTTTTTTTTTTTTTTTTTTAATTATTATTAAAAACCCCCCAACTTCTCCATCCGGGAGTCGATTTATTTTATTTTCACTTGACGGAGCTGGGACCGGTGCCAAGGCTCAAACGCATTTAAAATGAACCAAACAGCAACAAAAAGTTGTTTGTGATCCTTCTCAGGCTTTAACTATTAAAAGCATTACAGGGGGGCTTATGCTCCATATATAGAATAATACAACTCCTCTGCCAGACACACGCGGAGTCAGCCCGAACAACCACTTCTTGATGCAGATGTTGGAGGCATTTTATACTTCATATGCATGTAAAGAAAATTCCCACTCGGACACGGCTCCTTGCAGCCAGGAATGCCCACGGGGCAGCAGGAATGGCTGGGCACAACTATATTTCCCAGTCCATAGGTGAGTGTTTATCCAGCCCGTGAGCCAGCAAATGGAAGCTGTTTCAAACATACAATAACCAAGGGGTGAAAACAGCCCTGGCACCAGCTGTTGTATGTGCAGAGGTTCACGGCTGACTTTACACCCCCCCCCCAAAACCCTCCAGTTTCATATTTGAGGAGAAAAAAAAAACCAAAACCCGACTGCAGACAAAGTTTCTATGAAAACCAACAGCCTCGAACAAAAGCAGCGTGAATTAATAAGGGGGGGGGGGAAGAAAAACAGAAGCTTTGTTCTAAAGTGGAAGCATAAGATGTGAAATTTCAAAATCAGATGGCTCGGGCTGTGATTTCTTTCATTTCAATGAATTGATCTGTTGCTAAACTGCTGCTCTGGTGCCAAGAAAACTTTTAACTCTTTCGGCTCAAAACGCCCCCCGTGTTTTGCTGGTTTTCTCTCTCTCTCTCTCCTCCCAAGAATTCAATCAGAAAGGAGAAATTAAAAAGGAAGTGGGGAAGCAAAAAAAAATAGGAGAGGATAAAAAGGATGGGGGAATTAAACCTGGAATTAAACCCACGAGCACAAGCAGAACACAAAAGAGCCCCGGTCTGGAGCGTTGCGGTGCTTCGGGAGAACTTCTGCTGTATAAACAACGTGGTTCTGGCTCTCACAATGTTGCTAAAAACTTGGAAAGGAGACAGAAAGGCCTCCAACCTTCCCAATTCCACCTCCAGCAAGAACTCCGGGGCAAACCCACCAAAAGCAGGGCTACCAGCAAGGAAAACCACCGGCTCCCTGACCTGATCCAGTGCAAATATTCACTTACCGAGAATGCCTTAAGCATTTCCAACATAACCCCCTTCCCTACACGGGGGAAAAAAGAACATCAAAAAAAATAATAATTTAAAAAAAAAAAAGAAAAGCAAACTGAAAAGCTTTCAAAACCCACCCAAAATATAGCTGCTTTGGTAAAATTTGGGTGAAAGTTCCTAGTGCTTTTCCGTTTTTGGTTTGGGGTTTGGTTTTGCCCACTTAAAAAACCAAACGAATGAAAACAGACGTGTCGTAATTAGAGATAATTCCAGGGGAAAAAAATATTTGTGTGTAGAATACAACAAAAAAAAAAAAAAAGAAAAGAAGAAAAATATATTTATATATCTATATACCTCCCTCTTTCCAGTTCTGCTGCAGTTCCCCCTAAACTGCTGCTGCTTGCTCCAATCTGCTGCCTGCTTAACAACGGAATGACAGGCAACATCTGTTTGTACAGAAGCCAAGATCGAGCCTTCAAAATTTTTTTGGCTCAGTTTCTTTTTTTATTTTTCTTTTTCTACCCCCTCCCCCTGGAAAGCTTGGAAAAGGAGGGGGGGAAAAAAATAGAAGTAAAAGAAAAAGTCAAAGCACCCAGCAAGGTTTTGAAGCAACTCAAGTGAGGCAGCAACTCTTTTCCCCTGGAGTTATTTCAAGGTACAGGACTCGAGGAGAACTCTTTGCTTCTCTCCACCCTCCTCCCCTGCTCTCCCCACCCTACAGCCTCTCTCTTGCCCCATGCTATTAATAAAGAATCACACAAACTGGGGAAAAAAAAACCAGAATCCAACGTACCTTGATCCCTAAAAGGCCACTCCCTCCTACGGGGAGGGAGGGGGTTCTTCAGCAGGCAACTAAAAAAAATTGCACGGGGAGGGGAAATATGGGATTCAGGGACAGTCTTGCCACAATCCTCTCACCCTGGTGGTTTGGATTTTTTTCCCCTCTCCTCCATTTTATGGACTAGAAAATACATGGTGCATATTTGCAAAATAAAAGGAGCCGTTTCGAAATAAATAAAGAGGTGGATTACGGTGATTATTATTTAAAAATAAATAAAAATTAAATATATAAAAAAAATTCAGCCCAGCTCCAAATACAATTCAAATGACTAACAATGTCAGGCTACTGCCAATTCTGTGGCAAATCGGGAGAAAGCACAATAATTCCACATGCTGAGATGTGAACAACTGGAAAGAAACCAACTCTCTGGAAGTCACAATGAAAACTATTACGGTGCCCCCACCCCCAGCCCGAGTCTCCCCCTGTACCCTCCTCTCTCTGGGGGGGGGAAAGAAGGAAAAAAAAAAATTAAGCCACTAATTTAACAAAAGGAAAAGAGGAAGGAAAAAACAACAACAAGACCATCAAGAGAAGCTGTTTAAAAACTCGGGGAACGTTTTATTCGCTGGAGATTTGGGACAACGCTCCTGCACACACACACACACACACACAACCCCCCCTCAGTGAAAAAATGAGGCAAAAAAAATAAAATAACCAGACAAGTTGCTAAGGAGACTTGTGTAAACTCGGAATAGAGGCACATTTCTGGCCTTTCCCCCCATATTCCATCTCGTATTCCGATCACGCACCACTGCGGCACGATTGCACCAATGCACTGCATTAATCTTGGCCTTAAACGGGCTGACTGGCAAAGCAAACTGTGTGTATGGATCATCTTTCAAACTTAACAAGTTAAAGGCAGAGAGGGTGGTGGTGGGTGGGGAGGGCTGGGGAGGAAGGGGGGGGGAGGGCGGGGACCTTGCTGCTGAATATAAAATATAGGAGCCGAGCTTAGTAAGGGAATTTTAAAGAGGAAGTGTGATCCGGGCTGAGATAGCAAAGCTGCAAGGCTCCCCCAGCTCTCACTGCGTCTCTCTCTCGCTCCCTCTCCCTCTCCCACTTCTCCTGACAAAATCCCCATCCCCTGGCAGATGTCTGAATCCCTGCCAGATCCAACAATGTGGGACCCACTCGCTGCCACCACACGCTCGGGGCTCATTCTCTCAGCACAGTGGGGTCATATATACATATTAAATGACCTCTTTTCTTCCCCCCTCCCCTCTTCAGTCCCTGGTGTGCATGTTCCCAACCAAGACATTTCGATATAATATTTTCACCTGTATTTAGATATAATATTTTCACCTTCTGCTTATAGGGAGATTCAATCAAAGCCTGAACTATTTGTGCACGGTGCCTGTTGACCTTGTCCAAGACACAATTAAATTTGGTGGGTTTGGTGTTTTTTTTCTCCTGTCTCTTGATTTGGGTGCAGGAAATCCATCTCTTTCTTTAAGCCCTCTTCCCATCTCTCACAACCCCAAATCCTCTCCTGCTGATGGACAGCTCAGTGTGATCACTCAACACCTGCTTTTTTGCTCCTTTTGTGCCCCGCGTTTCACGAGAGGGGGATTTCCATCCTCACATGAGGAATCCAGTAATCTACAGGAAAAGCCAATTTCATGGGCTGTGCCTTGGAGCTGCTCCCAGAGCATTCCCCTGCTTTCAGCTCCCACTCAGCAACCTGGGCTGGTGGAAGGTGGCCCTGCCTATGGCAAGGGGTTGGATGGAGATGGTCTTCAAGGTCCCTTCAAACCCAAACCATTCTAGGATCCTGTGACTGAGGGGTTTTGCTCAGCATATTCCAGAAGGGGAACCCAAAGTGCCCCAAAGAGCATCATCTCTGCTTTACACCCAACAAAAGCGCAGGAGAAGCGATTCCTTGTCCCTGTCACTGCCACCCCATCCAGGAGGAGCATTCCCATGTGCTGGGAATGCACCAAACCCTCATTCCCTGCCCCAGCACTCGTATTCCTGTGAGGGGCTGGAGCCCTGTGCTCAGGAAGGGGTGAGGGTGCTGAGCAGCCACACGTCCCACGGGCTTTGTCTCAGCTGAAACCCAAGATGCAAATGGGGAACTGTGACTAATGCTCTTGACAAGGCATAAAGAGGGGACAATGTAAGAATTCTGAGAAAAAAAAAAAGAAAAAGTTAGAGTTGGACTCTGAGCATCGAGAGGAGAAAGGAGAGACTGGGCAGCAGGAACGACTCTACTGGTTTCCTCCACTTAATCTAATGACAGTCTCACTCATCAGACTTTTATCACAGCCAGTTCTGGCAGGGTCCCTTCCTTTCGGCTCCAAATGACACATTACGGACATAGGAGAAAACCAGAAAGCTCTAATTGCTGAATTCCAGCTCCAAAGCAAGTGAATTTGTGCCACTGCACAAATTAGAGAATGAAATGTGTATTTTAAAAATACCCTTTGGGGTGTTAGTGCTCAAGTGGCTACTAAGTGGATACTAAGCCCCCCTGAATCTCATTCCCTGAAATTCAGAGGAGTCCAGTGTTGCCTCCCCTCATGATTTCTCATTTCTCTTCCACAGATCTACTGGAAAGTGGAAAATTTGACTCACCTGACTGCTTGTCTTTGTTTGGGAAGGGCCACCTAAAACAAAAATACCAAATCAACAAGTTAAAACCATTCATTTAGGATTTGGGGGTTGCCCTACACAAGTAAGGAAAAAGTAGAAATCATCATCAAAAAAAAAAAATTTCTCACATTCTAGGGGGGTTTTTAAGTCAAACAAAAGCACACAAAATAAACATTCCCTTTTCCCTTGCTTGCTCAGTTCCTTTGTACAGAGTGATGCTCCAAGCCCAAAAAGGAGTCTGAGCCTCCCAAATGCTCAGGTCCACACACTCACAAACAGCTGAAATGAGGTTTAAGGTGTTGTTGCAGCTTCTGAAGGAGGTTTTCACTTCTACAGCAGGGCCAGGAGATGGGGTCATGCCACAGCTCCTCGTGCCAGTGAAAAAACAGTCATTTTACCTTAAACTCAGTGAAAATGGTACAGACCTAAGCAACCACTGAGCTGGATCAGGGCTGCTCACACTCTCCTGCCCCCTGGGTGAGCTGCCTGCAGACAGTCAGACCTTCAGCCCGTCCAGGTGAGCTGGGAAGATGTTCTTTGCCTTTGCCTCCAGCGAGCCATCTGTAGTTCTCCTTTGAAAAATCTCCTCCTGCACAGCAGATCCCCCCAGCCCTGCTGAGGCTGCTCCAGCCCTTCACCAGCAAGGAGAGGACTGAGCCCTGAACAACCCAGCTGAAAGGAACAGCTCAATACAGGGCAAAGATCTGCATCTCTGCCCCCAAAATCCATCCTGACCACGGGGACACGCTCGTGTCTGCACAGCCTGGACACAGCCTGGGCGTCTTTACAAGGAAAACAGAATCCACAGGTCTCAGACCACAAAGCCATCAGTAAGACACGGCATTTGCAAGGCACCAATATAGAGAGAAAGCTGAGAAGTAGCAAGAAAAATCACTTTAAAATGAAAGAGAATAGGTTTAGATTGGAGATATCAAGGAATCTTCCCTGGGATGGTGGGGAGGCCCTGGCACAGGTTGCCCAGAGAAGCTGTGGCTGCCCCATCCCTGGAAGTGTCCAAGGCCAGGTTGGAGCAACCTGGGCTAGTGGAAGGTGTCCGGTGGGACTGGATGAGCTTTAAAGTCCCTTCCATCCCAAACCACTGAGTGATTCCACGATGAAAAGCTGAAGAGGCAAAAATACACTAAAAACCCCTGCAGATGCAGCACCAGGTCCTTTTTCATGCACTCCCAGTTTTGGGCCCTAACATTCTCAGAGGAATTTCTAGTGCTGAGGTTGACTAAGTGGGGCCACATTTTTGTTTTGGTTGCAAATTGGAAGCCACTATTTTTATCCACAAGTCCCCCAAAGCATCTGTTTCTCTCTAGCTATTTAAGATTTCCTTTTATAAGACCTAGTTAGAGGTGTATCATTATTTTTAAACGTTACTCTTTGCAGTCACACTTTTTATCATCATGACACGTGTCATTATCTGTGCATTTGAACTGGGTAATTTGAAGACGAGGAGATAAAATCCTTGCAGGGGGTCTGAGAGCTGCTTCCCCTCGAGCAAATATTTTGGGATAATTCCTCCAATCTGGTATAAGCAACCCCTTCCTGCTTTTAAAGTCATCTAGAGAAAGGAACTGTTTTGGAGCATCCATTCAGAATAGGCTGAATCACCAGCAGAAAAGGAGAATACCCCACTTGTATCTAACTTCCAGTCAAGGCACAACCATCTAGAAAAATCTGTGCAAACATTATTTGCTTTCACTGGAAACTGTATTCACAGCAAATTGTTTCTTCCAAGGAGTAAAAAATGGGGATATATCAAACTGTTCCATGGTTGGACTGCAAGGCAGAAGACACTATGTCTTATTTAATGAGCTACAGAGTCACACTTGCAGCAGGTCTGAGAGAGCAGTACTTTTGGACCACTTAAGGGTTCATCTAATGTGATGTAAATGCAGCTCAGGTCATTTAATTCAGGAGGCCACTTCCATCCTGCAGTTTCTCTGACAGACCTACCTTGCACCTACTAATGGCTGTGGGGGTTTTTTATTGCCTCACCACTGCTGGCCCCAAGTGACAGGAAAGTAAATGAAAACTGCTCCAATCTCCTCCTGGAGCAGGCAAAACACACCTCCCTGCTACCTGACAGGCCAGGGACATCATCATGTTCCAGGCACCAGCAGTGGGATGTTATCACAACATGGACAAAGTCTCACCAAAAGTCCAAAAGAGTCCAAAAGTCTCAAGCTCTGGGTCCAATCTGAGAGACAGATACAGGTAGGATGGTGTTTGGAACTGCACCTCGAGGGGAGCAATGAAACCAGACACAAGATAGGTAGAATTTCAGTTCCTGACAAGCAACAGCCCAAATTTGACCTAAGACTGTGCTGGGCTTGATGTTGTACTTGGAGTAAAAGCTGCTACACTGTCCAAGAGCAGGTCAAGTGCATCAAGTGGGGAACAGAGTCACATGTTATGAATGGGCTGGGTTACATTTTTCACACCTGTCAAGGCTTTCCAGCAAGAAATTTTGTCCTCTATGTGGGCATCCACAGGAAATCCTACAGTGAGAAAAAGTCTGCCCTCTTCCACCTTGAAAGCAAAGCTGTAACAAAGAGACCAAGCTGAGTAATGGTAAATTTTAGCCAGAATAGCAACGGATCAGTGGGAGTGGGAACGACCTCAGTGGGTGGGGAGGTGTGTCAGCCCCTGGACAACCACGTTCACCAGGACTCAGCATCTCCTGGGGAACATGAAGGGTGCACATTTCTCTCCCCCAGGCTGCCCATCCCTCCCCAGAGCTGCCCCTGCCTGCCATGTGCCCTCTGGGGAGAACATGTGCACACACCTACACATTCCTGCTGCATTATTCCATGGAAGGCTCATTCCCTTGGCCACTGGTGCACTGAGCTCTGAGCTAAGCAGCCCTCTGAGAGCCAAGGCAAAGACAAAAATGCTTGACTGGCATCTCATCAGGTATAAATCACGTGGGAAAGGTGTTTTGCTGTCATGTTCCTATGAGTCCAACCTTCAAACAGGGAACACAATGACCCAAAACAGGACAACTGATTCCATAAACTATTCTAGACATGCAAAGCCACAAGTAGGTGCAAATGAATTTAGCAGAAAATGGATATTGGCACACCTAATGAAAGTCCCCAGTAACTGTCCTTCCCTCTCCCCTTCCCTCCTAACACGAAGCTGGCAAGTGCCCATGTCAGGTACCAGGGAGACAAACCTTCACCCCAGTCTTCTCCATCAGATTGTGACTGTGCTTTGCAAAGAACTTCTTCAAATAAGTGGATTCCAATGATCAGAACTTACTAAAATAAGATTCTTCACCCTCCTTTTAGCACTGCTGGTGGACATTCATTCCTTGGGCTTCCAACCAAACCCAGAGAAAAATGTACCCTACCTTCATTTCCTGGTGTTGCTACCCCTCAGTCCCTCTGATCCAGGCTGTTCCTCACTGTCACCAGGCTGAGTAAATAGCATTAATCATCATGTCCTTCAAACTTGTCTGAGCTTTTGTGCCCTTACTTTCAAACTTCAAAGGGTTTCTCTCTCGTGGGCACACGGGGCTAAAGCATTATTTTAACCCTGAAGTTAAGACTCTCAGAAAATTGCTTGCACCACCAGTGAGGAGCTTTCAGTATTGCAAGCTCAGTGCTGAAATGGTGAGAGCAGAGCACGAGGTTTTCCAGGCAGGGGATGGAGCACAGGGAGAAGCAGCAATTTTCAGGAGCTCACAGAGGAAGTGCACAACCGAGCCTGGAATTTATCTCACATCTCTTGGTTCCAGTCCAAATGCTTAAACCACAACATCATCCTTCAGGCCTGGGACGCCAACTAAACCTTTAACCCTCATATTGTAACATCCTGAAGCATTTCTAACACGTTTTGAAGCAGATCCAGCCCCAAGGCAGGATCCTGATCTGACTGCCCAGAGTTCAAAGACAAGCCCAAGTTTGGGACCTGTCTGTTGGGTGACAGCCCACGCTGGTTTTAATCTCTGATTTGGGCATTTCACATTTGGACATGACACAACCCTGCACATATTTGTGCCTCAGCTGTGCTCTGACAGTTTGCTGGGCTCTGAAAACAGGGAAGGAGAACTTTTCCAGACTCAATATCTTACTGAGAGTGTGTCCCTTGCCACTCCTTCCCTCTACAACCTCAAAAGGGAAAAAAAAAATGGAACAATCAGAACTGTAAAGCAGCAAGCAGAATTCCAAAATAATTTGGAAAGAGAATGTTGAAGCACAAACCAGTGAGTCTTCTTGGAGAAGATTTGTGAGGAGGAAAGAGGGAGGTCTTCTACTGCCCAAAACACTGCTTTTAGTGGGTATAAAAACCCTGTCACCCCATTTCCCTTCAACACAGACCCAGACAGAAAATAAAGTGAAATGTGTGGATTATCATAGGAAGAGTGATGGCTGGGGAGGGAAGGAAGGAGGAGTAAGAGACGTGTCTACATGCTCACCACGAAAGCAAGGAGGGTTGAAGTGCAGCAGACATAGATCTGAAAGCAGCCAGTCTTACTGGGGCAGGACATGACCCTCAGGGCCACTTGTCCACCTCCTCTTCAGCCTGAGAGTGGAGAAAGGCCAAGTGACACCAACGGGGTCACAGCTGAGCACATCCCACAGATCACTGATGGGGAAACACCTGCCTCTTTCACACCACTCAGAGTGAAACTGTTCCACCACTTCAGCTTTTCTAACTGCACATCCCCTCAGAACAGAGTGTTTGATCTCATCTCCACTTCCCAAATCTAGGTCACCTCAACCCGTGGCTGTGCTGCCAGTGACACCTCTAGGATTTGCCACAGCCCTGCTTGAAGTAGGTTTGGGGGCATTAAACAGCAGACAAGCACCTAATGAGCAAATAGAGGGGCTTCTTATGGCCCAGTCACGGAAGGGGATGGATGACCCACCTTCAGTGATGGCTCACTTACAACCAAAACCCAAAAAAATTCACCTTCCCAGCTCTGGACGCAGCCACAGCAGAATGCATCATTCCTTCCCGCCGTGCTGTTCCAGTCTGGCTGCTAAACTTGTCTCTG